TTTCTGTTTTCTGAAATAAAATTCACTGTGAATTCCAAATAAAATAAGTGATAATCCTAAATTTTGGTAATGGTTAATGATAATGGTAATGGTTCATCGTTGCTTATTAATTAAATAACTCATATAAATGAGGGTATAAATATACCTACCATAACTTCCTGACTTTCAATATACAACAGTGGCACACCCTTGCCTAATATCAGCTTGTTTTTAAAACGTTAAAATGTTATTTCGAGAAATATCGCACAATAATAAGTATAACGACGTAAATTGCCAATATTGTTGACCACCAAGGTAAATAAAGCGGTTAAATTGTTGTACGCGTACCAATATACCGACTACTTGAAAAGTTTTAATTGGTACCGAGTCGGGAATTGTATTAATTTTGCGTTTATATTATATACATATACGTTTTGTTAATCGACAATTCTATACAAGTAAAAGGATTACAAAGTATAGAAATTAGAAACAAGGGAAACACTGTCGTGTACATATTTTTTGTATAATATAAACACGTTTTAATTACTTAATAAGTAAAAAAGAAAATATCGTGGTCTCAATATGTAATATGCGAGAAGTTAAGATAGGTTTTAAGATAATTTCCTCGTCTATAGTGTAGAGTCTACGTTATAGTCTACCCATACCTAAAATGGGAGAATGGGAAGAAAATATTTTTGTTGGTTTTTGTAATACGACGGTTTTCATTATTCAAATGACAGTTTGTCGGAAGTATTATGAAGTATCAGTATTATGTTATACCTGTGGATCGTCCGGGAACAGATAATCGACAATAACAGGGAACCGACTCGTCGGCGTCCATTTACGAGTTACAGCACCGACAACAATAGATGATCGAACGCGGACTCCGCCGTGACCCGGACCGTTTTCGCTATCGTCCTAATAATGATTATACGAGTACTTGATATTTTTTTTATATTTTGTGACTCTCGACAAAACAAAAGCAAATGCTGTGCAATCTGTAGTGCCTTACACACCGTGGATTTACCGGATGGCCGACTTTTTGATTGAACTGAACTTCTATTTATATATTATTATGTTTTATTTTATTAACACATATATGTTTTAGGTCTGGATACAACTTTTTTTATTTATTTATTAGTTTTTTTTTCACTTGACTGCCCGTGATCGATATCGCACTATCGAAATCAATATCACGTATAGCTCACACCTTCACCGCTACCGTCACTCCATTCATCTCCACTCACGCCGTTTGACTACTGACACCTCCTTCACTCCTTCACTGTCCACCCTTCTCTCTCCATCCCCACCCTACCGTCACCCCCAACCTATTTCCTCTCGGTTTCATTACACGGTCACAAAAAAAGAAAAACGTAGCGCGCTATGTACTTGACGAATTCTCCACCGCACGGAAAAAACACGGAATCATGAATATAGGCCGCCATTAACAAACTTCCCGAAAACATGCATATGATTCAATGTTTTCCCGTGCGGCAGAGAAAATGCTAAATAGTGCGCTACGTTTCCTTTGTCTTCCCTTTTCAGAATTTTTTTTTTCGCTCCCTCAACAATATAATAAAACATTTCGCGAGTCCCCCGAAAACCACCCGAAATTTGAGCTTGAACGTGAAAACTGTACATAGAAATCTTTGGTATCGGAGTATTTATTTATTTTTTTTTTCCTTGTCAATCGAAAACGACGATATTATCGGCCGGCTTTTCCGGTATAATATAGTCGGGACTACACTCGTCGTCGTCGTCAACGAACAATGATGACGATACGACGAGACGATACGGCACGCCTGCACTACTGCTGCCAAGCTGCGACGACGGGAGAAGCGGGCGAGTGTTTTTTGCGATTCATTGTTTCGGGCACGTATCTTTCGAAAACGCGTATCTCCGGCACCGCGAGCACGTACCTATATATGTATACGTGTATATCTTATCTGCTATGTACGCTCGAGAAATCCGCAAAGTGGACGCGAAGTGGCCTTTAAAACCCGTTTAAACCACGGAACGAAGGACAACCCCATCTATGTGCGCCGTGTGACCGGGGGGGGAGGGGTGATATCCGACCCCGATTCAGAGGAGCGCATGCCGAACGACACGCTGGTCTGTCTTAATTGGCCTAGACCCATCACGGTGTCGTCGTGATGGTCCACATAGAGGAGGATTTCTTCCGTGAACAAATATTAATTGTGTTTAGTAATTTCGATATTCGCACATATTTGGCGTTTGAAAATTCCGCCAAATCTCGGTTTTTCTGAAAAATCAATAAAAAGGTCTAACGCAAACTTTGAAAACCAGGCATGCTTTAAAACGAACTAATAGGTAAATAATAATGTAAAATGTTAATAAAAATACCTATTATATGTCAGTTGATTTTTTTTAAGCACGCGCATTGCATTTTTATGTTCAAATTATGCGTAAAATATTCAAATTTTGATTTTTAGAACTTTTAAGCGTTTTAACAGAGGCACATGATATTTCCAAATACTGAAATTTTTCACAAAATTTAAGCGGTATACTGTGAAAATATCAACTTTGATTTTTCCAATGAGAACATACGTGTTTTTATGCATGTAGTGAATCAGATGATTTTTCTGAATTTTTTCGGAAAATCTGATTATTGCGTTATCATCAAAAACATCATGGACGCGTGCAAAATTTCAAGTCGACCGAACCACGGAACGCACAATCGATCACGCGTTCTAAACTTCTTCGTCCTCGCGAGTGGTGTAATCTAAAACGCGGTAAAAATGCGACTCTGTTGGAATTTTTTTTTCTTTTTTATTCGTCCGGTGTACAACACGAAATTTAACTTTTATAACCGACAGGACGCGCGTTATTTTTGTGATAATCTCAATAATAAACCCGTTGGGCGAAAACTTCGGAAATATCGGCCAATACTGTCGCGGGAATAGCCCGTTTTCGAGTTTATTTCACTTACACGCGATGATAGCGGCAAGACGTACTATACAAACAGCTTAGTAAGCATTTAATTTTCACTTGCCCGCAGCTATATTATAATATATAGGGGTTGATATTTTGTGAAACGTCGGACTCTTTCCACGCACGGTGACGTGCCCCGGTATAAAATATCGTTCTCCGGGCGAACGCGATTTTTCGTGGGAGGCACCTTTACATAATATTTTATTTTCTATTTTTTAGACACTTTAAGTACATAGGTAGGTACGTTTTACCCACACACACACACACAGTATACCGTAATTACAACGCCGTTACGTAATATATAACAGTTTCTATTATTGTTTTACAGGTTATTTAAATATATTATGTATACCTATACAGTTCTGTGCACCTCACGATACACAAACCAGATAAAAATGTAAATAAACAATTACTGACGTACATAAATAATCGACATTATAATATAATTATAACACCGTATAACTACTTACCTATACCTACTAGAAAACTGCAGAGCGTACGGCCGCCGCCGTCGTCGTAAACGAAATGTATACGATAATAATAATAATAATAATAATGTGTAATAATTATCGTGTTAACAATTTATTATCTTTGTATATTTTTCGTAACCCATAAATAACCGTGATATACTGTTATTGTTTGTTTACGTGTAAACGCCAAACGGATGTTTTCGAAATACATATTATTATTATTTGTATTACTTATTTATTGTTGTTTAGAATGAGAACAACGCCACCGCCCGAGGCCGTAAAATAATATATTGTTTTGCAGTGTGAAAAATCCGAGAAAATACCACGTTTCGTTGGTTAGTTCGTTAGTTTCGCCGGCCCTCCCCTCTGTAAAATCGTGGTCTCTATTCACCACAATAGATTACGGACGAAAAATTGTCGTGAAAACGCACTCGACGGCGACAGAAATTTCGGGTAGCGGTTAGGTAGGCGAGTGTTCGCACAAAATTCGTCATATAGTGAAAGTGCATAACATTATAAACGTATCGGCGCATTCGCAGTCTGCAATGTTAAGTTTCCATTGACTTTACGCGTTTGCGTGCAATTTCAAAAAAAAATTAAAACTTTTCGTTTTACTCTTGCTAAGACCCTTAATTTGTTTTGTACAGGTATCGCATGAAATACTAATCAATTTGCATCGCATTTGAATTTGAATTTTTAGCGGTGAAAATCACAGATACAGTACCGAGAATTTTCATTTCGTTTGCAGTACGAGACCGTTTATTAGTATACCCGGCGTGAGTATTCAACGTGTTTTTAGATTTTACTGCTGGTTTGTGTGTATAGTTTTTTTTTTCTTCGGTTACTATACTATATACTTATACTAGACTCTAGAGAACGATGTCGTCGGAACCGCGAGACAAACGGCAATAATATTATAATTGTTATTATAACCTACCGAAAAAACTTATACACTACGTATATACATTTTGAAACTCGCGTCTTGAAAACTATATTATTTTATTATGAGTTCGTACACTGTTTGTATGTTATAAAACAAGAAGTTTGAATTATTAATGAAAAAAAAAAAACATGTTTGTTTAACAAACAATAGCAATATTAATATGCTAGGAGGGATATAGGTACACGATGTACTTTACCCACATCATCGTTCGTTTAATGATAATAGTTACTATCGTACAGTTAATTAATTATTATTTTTTTGTTTCGTTTTACTTTTACCGCACTGTCGCCGCAGTATCCGATGCGAGTGAATCGACGACGCGTCGATAAAGAATCCGCGTGCAGTGCACCCCGCATACTCGGATGAAATTGATAATACAAATAATAATAATAGGTGTAGAACCAGTGGTTGAGGGGCCAGAGGGGGAGGAGAGCGTTCTCCCCCCCCCCGCTGATCATATAATATTTACACCGCATAATATCATTATTATTATTATTATTATTATTATTATTATATACTTTGCCATCCTATTGAGTCGATTCTCTGCGGGCGGACATGACCGATGAGTGGGCGTCTCGTCGCACTGAACTATATAGGTACCTATACTCGTAATATCATAGAAATCCATTATTTGTATCGCTATAGCGTCATCAAAACTCTGTTTCAATAAACGAGATTGATTTTCATCCGTCTCGTATACATATTATATATATACGATATATAGTGTACCTAATACGCTGTTCGGACTCCGCGGGAACTAAACGATACACAGATACGTAATCTAAATCATACATCGTATATTTGTTTACAAGACAATAATTTATTATTTAATAAACGTATTGTTGTACCAGAGACTGCAGTATAGACGCGTAATCACAGCTCACGGTTTCGTCGGTTTCGTCGGCGATTCACAGATAACGCAATATATAAAACAACATAATACAGATGGCCGATACAAATACTATATGCGACTAGACCCGAAGCTCGACAAATGCACCAAAGTGTGCCAAGAGTCTGAATTTCGTCGATTAATTTTGCGAAATATTTTTGCGCACTGCATGATGCGATAAATATTACGAGATGAAAAATGAAAAATATTTGAAATTAAAAAAAATTATTGTTTTTATAGTTCTATCGTCACAAACAAATGTATAATATTGTAACAGCCACTTACGATCGTGTTTCGGGACTCTATGATATGGTCCGCCATCTAACGGTTTTTTATATCCGTGGAAAAGGATATTTTACTTTGTATGTCCACTGCATGTCCACTCTCCCCCTCCATTAAAAAAAAACCACGCGAGCAGATAGATCAAAATTTCCCTTACTGTGTGTTCTATAGAGTTTAATGTATGTCTATTCGGACATAGAAAATCTCTATGAGAATAACAAATAGGAAGGCAGTAGTTACTGTTTAACGAACCATAGGTACAAAATATTAGGTTAAATATCGATTTTATTTAAATCTAAGAAAATACGATCGATAATATTTAAAGTCAATAAATATTAATTATTATCGTTAAACGCAAAAATGATATTTTAACGTATTTACCGACAGCGTAATTTTTCCTCAATTTTGTATTTTGTTATTTTTAGATTCGGACCGTATTGGTTTTACTATGTGTTTTTTGTTTATTTTTTTCGATCAGAAATTTTACTCCGGTCAAAAAATGAAAAGATTACTTTTTTGTCAATGACTGCATCTAATTGCAAAATTTCTGAAATCATTTGTTGATTTTTAATTAGTTTTCGTAATAATTGGGAAAACTCGAAAGGAAAAACAGACAAATTTACTGCAATAAAAATTACATTATTTTAGATTTGTTAAATTTTATATATGTTCTGTTTTTGCCATAAACCTTGTAAATTTTTTGATGGAAAATTTTGTCTAGTTAATATGGAAATGTATATAGGAATGTCGGTTTTTAATTTTCCTTCTCATTTTCTTGACAACAAATTATTGAAGAACGGGAAAGTTTAGTTTCAGTATTTTTATTTTTTGCATTCGGTTAGAAATGAAATACTTATTTTCAACGTTACAAGACGTGGTCAAATGTTTACGAAATTCTCGCGTTTTTTGAACTGTTTGTAGACATTGACATTTTCAAGTTTTTTTTTTTTTCTTTTATAGAAGAAATTGTTTGGTTAACGCGAAGTTCATTACAATTTAGACGTTTTACTTAGTAGTGGTAAAAAAAAAAGTTGAACGAATATAGTGGTTTTTTTTTTTTTTTTTGATAACCGTTTTAAATTGAAACTTTGACGAAAATCGTAAAAATTAAAGCATTCCAAAACACGTTGAACCGAACTTCGCTCATGATCGTATTTCGTCAGCTATGATTTATCGTTGTGTACAGATATTAATGAAATAACTTTATGTATTCTACCATCCAAACTTCCTACCTACACCACTGGAATACCCATCAGCAGCATCAGTTTCTTTTTTTTTTATTGTCGCAAACGTCTGGTGATTTTGAAACAAAAAAACACATTATCAGCAGATCGTAGGTAAACGTTTAAAAATATATAGTATAATATATAATATATTAATCCCGATATTTGTCGGTTTATTATAATATAATATTATGCATATAACTATACCTTTAAACATATAATTTACATAATACATAACAGTGGCGTATTTACTGGGGAGATTATAAAGATAGATATTCCCCCCCTGAGGCCGCGACCTTTTTTTTTTTAGTTTTTATTGTTTATGTGACAACCTTTTTTTAAATTCAAATTTCTTTAGTTTTTAGTCAGAAAAATCAACAATTTAATCTGTTGGTACCCATATTGAATATATTATCAAAAAAAACCTGAACGTATTCTTGTTTAAAACGATATCCGGATCACTACAATATCATAAGGTGGTTAGATTAGTACCTAAATAGTACTGAAACTAGAAAGTTGTTAACATCTTATACATATAGTTATTTAAATGCAATAATCATTTTAAGGTAGATTGGATTATAATTTACGTTAAAAAAATAAAAATAAATATATGTAAATTTAAAATTGATCTCTTTTTATTGCCTGGGTATCATACAATATCATGACACAATTTCCAAATTCTATGTCTTCTTCCATGGCAAAATCCTAAGTAGGCCATTGCGTGGTAATAGTTTTAAGTATACATTGTTAAAAATGTATACTTTTTTTTTATTTATAGTTTAAGGAAAAACGAAAATATGACACCGTCCGATGACATCGCAGTCACCAATGCAGGCGGGACGTATATCAAAAATTGTAAATTGTTTAGGTGAGCATTTTCAAGAGTTACTTCATTAACAGTGCGAATTTTTTATCGTTTTAAAAATGCAAGACCAAGGCCATATTTCGTTAAATGGCTAAATGGTTCTATATGTGACCCATCGCCAATCCGTTTCATTACAACACGTGTATTTCATTAACTATTCGATAATACGAGTATAGTTATCGCGTGCGAATGTAAAAAAAAAAAAAAAAAAAACCCAGGGAAAAAAATACGAATTCAGGGACACCGAAACCATAAAATGGACAATTTTCGATTCATGACCCTCTTGCGCTGCAACGGTGATGCGACATTATTACTATATAGTTACACCTATGATACCTACTCTCTCTCATGGTGATCTGGCAAGCCGTGCTTATTGCCGTTTGTTTACGCGGTATACGTCATATAAGATACAATATTGACGTTGTAAACATTAATGAAACAGCAATTTGATAATGTTTTATAGGTACGTGCGCGCGGCGTTTAATATAAATAAACACGTGTAGATATTCGGTGCCGGTTGTACGGTGACGGGAGTGCAGCGTGTCGTCGTGAAAACAATAAACCAGATGCTCGCGTCAGAGAGACACACCACACACATAACTACGAGATATAATAAAATAAATAACGAAAACGTGTTTTCCGTACGTTATACATGTGGGTCACATAAATATCAAAATTCGTTTAATACCTCTGTATACCTGGTCTAATATACTGGACCACAGTTTACCGCCTCGTGTTGTGTAACAATGGAAACGAGTTTAAACTTGGTCGTTTTCCAAGTGTAGTGAGCCCTCTGTTTATAATACACGTCCATATTAATACTGTCCATCGCGGATTTGTTTTATTATCCGTGTCAATTTCCGACATAGCGCAGTGGGATCACCGAATTTTTGAAAAGACGTACATTTTTTTTGTTTTTTTTGTATACACGAAATTTCGAAGTATTCGCGCCGTGTTCTCTCGGCTTAAACATTGTTCCCCATACCTGATTGACGAACGCGAGTTTACGTGATAATAATGGCCACATCAAAAACGACCGTGGAAAAAATGTCCGATTTTTCATCTGGCCATTTTGGTGTGTACACGGCCATTCTTATATGGCGTTTTTTCCCCCGGCCATTTTCGATTTGACAATTATTACTCAATTATCAAGGTGCCATTCCACTGATGCCGTAGCCTCGATACGACGGGATTCCGGGACTCTCGATTTGGTGTAATAATAAAATGTCTCGTATCAATCATATTTCAGAAAAATATGCTGTATAGATAAGAAAAAAAAAAACTATACGCCATTCTTTAATAATACAAAATAAAAAATAATCTATCGACTATTATGTTGGTCTCAGCGATTTGAGCCCTACGCTCTACAATAAATATTTAATACACAATAAGTATATAATAGGTACGTAGAGAAGTAATTATAATGATAGTTAACTAATATTAATGTTAAAAGGTTAAACATTTTTTTTTTTTTGTAATAATACAATATTACTATAAAGTCTTTACGGTTGCAGTAATATGTAAGTAGTGAATATTAATGATATAATACGGCTAACCCTTGTAACCACATTACGTCAATCGATAATCAGCTGTACGGTTTAAACTGTTGGTATAATGCGGTTGAAAATATAAACTCGCCAAACAGGGAACGCGGCCGTTTTATACGCTATCACGCCGGCAGTGAAATATGGGCTTCACTCTCCGTCTTAACTTTGTATCCGGGTCCATCGATCGTATGTAACTGCTTTATTAGCGAGGAAGTTATTAATTTTTTTTTTTTTTTTCTATTTACAGTCTCCCTGATTATTTATATTTGTAGCTACTATCAAGGTGGTTTTATTTTATTATTAAATCAATATGGTATTATATAGACTGATATACTCCCCGCGCTGCCGTTGCAGTGTATTGTGGAAAACAGCTGTTTATGTAAATAAACTACTAACATTTTTGTTTAAAAACGAAGGAAGACGGCGGCTTCCTTTATTATTGTTTATATACGCATTCCAAATAATATTATGTATTATTGTACGAAAAAATATATTTCAAAACTGAATAAAAGTTATAATTTAATATCGCGGTGCATGTACGTATTCGAATATTCTATAAAAAAAAAAAAAAAAAATAGTTATTTTCGGTTATGCGCAGTAAAAAACGTGTGTACGTATATATTGTTTATAAGTCTACAGTATGTGTACGTATTTGAATATTATGTATTCTAAAACACACGGGTAAGTAACACCGTTGGCCTTACATACAGAGATATGTTTTGTTACAGAAATTTTAATTTTGTTATAAAGGCCCCTGTGTGTATAGTCTACACTTATAAATCTTTCTATTTTTTTTTTTTTTTTTTATAATTGCAAAAATAATACGATTTCCATCGATTTTCAATAAAACCGTAAAATATAAAAACATAACATTTTCTAAAGAGTAAAACTGTTTAAAAATACTTATTGTTCGACCCATACAAGCGCAAGTAACACAGATATTTGGAGGACCAAATAAACCCCCTATAATAATATTGATACAAAAAATATATATTTAAAAAATTTACAATATAGTAGAGTTACTTGATGAAGATTCGATTTAGGGGTTCGTCTAAGTTTGGGAAGGGGATTAACGTTCCGAACCTCCTCCATAATTGCGCCTGTTTCTCAAAACTATCGTTTATTGATTGAAAATTGTTGTTAACTTAAACGAAACTGAATTTGAAACACGACGCGGTTTCTTCAATCATTTTCAATCATCCGCATAATTTATTCTGTTTATCATAATTTTCACGATACCGTAATAATATATATACATACAAAAAGAAATGGTTACTTTATATTATTTTAATACATAGATAAATTATACAGTTTAATTAAATAAGTTTTGAACTCCCTCGTATTGTATTTATACAATCTATAAGTTTAAAATGTTCAACGAAATCCGCCACGAATTTCCAATCAAACGGTAATGACGTTTTTAGATAACAATCAGTATATCGCAGTGAAAATAAACCACACTATACGTTGTCAACTTACGCACGCGCGTCGTCGTAGACTTGTACGGACTGCAGCAGTATCTCGGAATTAAAAAGTAAAATTAAATTACTTAAAAACTAAAAGAATAATATTGATACTACAGTATATATATATATATATATGATCTAAACCGTGGATCAGTTTACACTCAGTTGATCTCGAGTAGCTAAAGTATAATTCTATTTCCGTTTCTCTCCTCGCCCACGGTCACAAATACCTAACATATAAATCCGACTCCTAAAAATTAAATGAAAGTGTACGAACACACATTTTGAACACGATATGGCGGTGTCTTACAAAGTTACAATCGTTCTGGTTTTATATATAAGAATAAGAACGAAGATCATCACTATAGGTAAATTTTAACAAAATTTGATAACGGTTCGTATATGGGACCATGTATCCCGGTTATATTCTCGGATAATAGAGAAAATAGAAAATATTGGTCAAGAAAGGATTTATGAGAGTTAATATAAAGCCAGTTGAAAGAAAATCGTGTTGCCAACCACCTTGGATCATGCCATCATAAGCCGTTTAACTAGATACGAAGAAAAGTGCGAGTATAAAATACGCGAAATACCAGTTTTTTGTACAGCTATGATATTACATAATATTCACGACGATTCACTAAGTGTGCTCACCCTTCTTTTTTTTGGTTAAATTTTGTATATATTTGAATTCTGATTTTTGGAATTTTTAATTGTAGTTAAAGTTAATATTTTCGAATACTTAAATTTTTACATAACATTTAAGGAGTATGCTATGGCGATAAATAATTTAGTTTTTCAAAAGAGAACCTATGTTTAATAATTCCATAAGTAAAGGGAGTGTTACTTTAAATAAATTTTGGTGTCAACAGTTTTGATTTCCATCAATCCGTCAACGAGATATTCCATTTTTAAGTTTTGGTAGCGGAATATTATTTCTGTGGCATTTCATTAATGCTTCACCATTCTCTAAACGTTATGAAATCTAAGTAGTCGAAAATATCTTTAACTACATTAATTTCGAATATTCTAAAAATCAGAATTTTAATTTATACAAAATTTAACCATGAAAATAGAGTTACTACGTTTTAAAGAATAGCCCTGTATACGAATATACATATACACTAATTACAATACCACGTATCTACATTCTATCAATTTTTCAGGAAAGTGAACAATTGAATTTAAATTTAATTCAACTTAATGTTAAGTATTATCACTTAAATCCAATTTAAAAGGAAAACAATTTATTTTAAAGTTATTGTATCAAAACAAATTTCATGCGCGAGGAGATTACGAATATTTTGATGTAAAAAAATTAATTTTGTGTAAAATATCAAAAACGTGGTGTTGTTAATGGCGTAAATATAATTATGATATTTTCTTATTGATTATTATATAACAAGAGCGTTTACTATGAGTAAACACCGGGTTAAATAGACGTTGTGACTTTTTTTTTTTTTTATATTTCAGATAAACCAAATCTGATCGAATTTGTACACGAATCGGACCAATTAGTCTTCCACTCAGCCATTCTGCGCGTTATCTATGTTTTTGTGATAATAGATATCGCCTAGTAAATGAATTAATATACCTAGATGAATATAACAATAACCGTGCGCCGTATTAAGTTACGAACTTACGCTATTTATAAATATAATATTGATATGAATGGCCAGAATCTAGGACAAAATCCCGTTCAGCCAAGATCCCGTCAAGACACGTAAAAAAACAAACAAACAAATAAAGTGGACATTTTAATACATTTTAGATTCTAAGTGTAGCGAAGAATGTATTGGTTCTACTAAGATGTTTTATAATAATTGTATATTTTATCATGGAACTATAATAATATAAGGCCTTTATTATTTTTTTTAATACAGTCGAATATAATCTAAAATATTATTGGTTTTATTTGTTTTTAACAAAGCGAGGTATCTATTGGTTTTAATATAATGTGTGCTTTTAATTATTATTATTTTATTTTTTTTTTAATCATTTTGTCTGGCGGGATTTTGTTCAGGCGTGATATTAACGGAGACGGGGTTTTGTCCGGACACCGAATGACCATATAGGTGGCGGTAATAGACTCATAGGTGTTCGCATCACCTACACACAAATAGATATTTATTTTGCAAATCAATATTAGTACTTAAAAAAAAAAAAAAAAAAACATAATAAACAAACAACGTAAAATATTACGAATTATTATGCATATCAATTATTAAAAAACACTGTAATAACATATTAACTGTTGTGTATATACCTAAAGTACACACACTCCATGATATTATATATATTATCATAACTTCATTACGGGGCTTTTTTTTTTTTGTTTTCGGCCGAGCTTTTATTCGTATTATTCTCAATTCAAACTCACTCGACAGTACTGAATTTAAACGACCTTTTCCAATTATTTTAATTTTTACCCTGCGCTGAAACTATAATAATAACAATATATACTTACACTATAGCACACGTTTGAAATACATCAAATGAATTATTAATTTATCGTACACCGAAATCTTACAACGAAACTAAACTATAACACCTAACAATAACATTTATTTATACTTATGAATATTCATATAATTATTTAAATGTTAAGAGATAATTTGTTAACTTTTTACTTATTTTATTATTATTATTGTTATTATTTTTATTTTTCAACAAAAAAATATACAAACATTTTTAATTGAAAATTCTTCGGGTGACGTTTGGCAGCAATTTTCGACGGGTCTCGGAGCAACGCGCGTATAACACAAAAAATAATCGTAATTCAATAATTTTTTATTTTTTTTTTTTATCATTCTTTATTTTTTCTTTATTTATTCAACACGTCTGAGAAAAAATACTATTTGACGAAAAAAGAAAAACGGCTGAATTGAACGAGTTCAAACTACAGAATAATCTACTTATTTCAAAAACAAATCAGTATGTAATATTATTAGTATAACAGACTGATATTGTGGACTGTATTTTCAGGGAATTTGTATGGTAGCATAACCTTTATATAGAATAAACTAATATATATCTGTGCGCAGCGATAACCCATTAAAAAAAATAGTAGAGTAAAAACAAAAACTTCACACACGCAAAACAAAATTATTAAATGGTCGATACTAAAAAATAAAATAAATATATCAATAAAAAATTAATCAATTAATGAATGCGTCGCTTGGAGTGTTATGATATGTGTATTGTGCGACCGTTTTCGAATTAAAAATTCACCGTCAGGTAAAATCTCTAAGGCAAAAAGTAAAACGTGACCCAATACACATATCGTTATATGTCTAGGCGACGCCTGTTCATTTATTTATTTTATATTTTTTTTCTGATAAACCATTGCCAATGAAAAGCGATTCTGAACAAAGTAATATTGATCGTATTTGGTATACATGTAATATGATATGACTAAATTCAAACTTTTCTATTTCTGTTTTCTTTTTTTCATTTTTTACCAAAACGTAAAATTACTACATTAAAATATGAATATTTGTTATTCTTATTTCTGTGAATCGCATAAAAAAAAAAAACATAATTTGGTCATCTTCATTATCTCAGAATACATATCAATGTGTATTTTCGTGAGACACCCTATACAGTACATCAATATGGTTTGTTCGTTTTCATAAGTTAATTCAACAAAACGAATATACGCGGCTGGACATTATTTTGCCACTGAAATATTACGATAGTGTGTTTGTAAGAAGGGTGCCGAATTTTTCTCAACTTTTAGATGGGTTGAAAAAAAAATAAAAATATTTTTGATAAATATTAGATATTCGACAAAAAATCAATAACAAATACGCGAAAAAAATTTAATAAATGTTTTTATTTTTATTCCAATCGTCGACATACCGTATTTTAAATAGGTAGGTATGGGTTAGACTGTAGATATCGAACGTAATCGAAAAAATATTTTCTTTGACATTTCTGTATTTAAGTAAATATTGCAAACCATCTATACCTTATTATAAACATACACGTATCCAAGCCGTTATTTCGACTTATCAAAAACTCTTTGGGAGAACATGTTTATAAAACTCATAGAGAATTTTGCTCGATTTTGGTCGTTTATTTTTTGGTTTTTTTACGAAATATTCTTTTACATAAGGGTGCCATTATCGAATTATTATAACGTATCTAATATTAAAAGACTGGACGAATATATTTAAATATTATTAGAAGTGTACAACTTTCAATCGGTCCTCAACAAGTCATTGGTTGGACACATTGAATATTTTTGAAGGTAATTGAAAGAGATGACTATAGACGGGTAATATTAATATCATTATTATTTAAATTGTTTTGGTTATAGTATTTTTCGACAAATTTTTAGTGAGCAATATCGATATTTTTATCAAACAGTAAGAATAAATAATATATAAACTATTAATAATTATATAGTAGGTGCACGCGTATCGTTTTTTATTAATGTTACCGTGTTTCAGCATGTTCGGTGTTTTTTCAACTCATTGAGACGACTCGCGACGTATAAAATTGTCCTTGAAACGTCGGTTATTTATTTTTCCCATGCAATCTTCTGCTAGACAGGAAGACGAATGAATCGAGTTAGGATACACCTAATTTTACAGACAAACTCCGGTTATCTCCGGATATCTCCGTGTCCGTATTTAATAGAAAAATATTTGTTCAACCAATCCCAACAAAAAAAAAATACACCTATAAACCAAACTCGAAAAAAAAACACATGCCGATCGTAATCGGTAACCGCAAACATACTAGTTTCGATTCCATGATTCCATGTTTTATGAATTATATGATAAATTAGACTTTAGATAATGTATTATTATCTCAAGTCTAATTTATTTCTATATTAATGTTTTAATAGTCGCTAATCAACGAAACGATCCCCCTCCTCGAAGGCTATTATAAAATATATATTAATTATATTGACTATATAGGCGTGCGACAATTACGGATTGATAGTTTTTATTTTATTTTAATTCGTGTTACCAATAAGGGAAACCAGATATCTATCAAAAAAAAAAAAAAAAATCAATTTACGCGTTTTCCCGTTTTTCCTCGTCTCGCCCCTGAAAATACCACCCCAATATAATACTACAAAAGGTGTATTACGCCTTTAGTATTTTATCTATAGATCATATTACTTTAAAAATACGAGTAAATGTGTGCCAAGTTTGGTCGACAATTCTCCCGACATTTCAGATCATGTTCCGTCCCCCTCCAAAACTATTATTTTATGTACCTACTCCGGTCAACGAACCAAAACACCGTATTAGATTTTTATCACTTAAAAACTCGTATCCATATAATATTATGTGTCTATATATATTACTAATAATTATTATTTTGTTCAATCTTCTATACAGAACCTATGTAGAAAGTTATTATTATTATACACAATTTGCATAAAGAAATTTTCGAATGTGTTTGAATATCGATTAATTTATTTATAAGCATCTTTCAATTTTCTATACGACAGTTATTAATATAATGAGACTTTAAATTACAAAATCTAAGTTACGATAAAATTATCATTATAACGGTTAAAAGCACTTACCTATATGGCTGTATATTATTATCAGTATTTGTTTTCGTTTATGTTGTGAAAAATAACCCCACATTGTGTTTATTTTTATAGATTTATTGATCAATTTTAAAATAAGTAAACGAGTTTACAAGTGTCGCACATACTTTACATATTTAATTAATATTACGTAATCAATACCACCTCATAATCACTTAGGTAACACGTAAATTTCACAAAATCGTGAGTGCCGAAGGTGTACTACTCAGTCCTGACCCGACTCCTTATCCTATACACGACGTAAGTATACTATACGCACATTGCCTACTGTAAGTTGTTATGAATTTTATTTTACAACATTTTAAACAAGAAGTACATAATATTATACAAAATGCGAAATTCCAGATATAAATCGTAAATTTATGTATTTTTTTTTTTTTTAAAGATTTGATAAACGGTCAGGTTAAAAAAAAAACAAATAAAAATCAAATCATCCTAACGAACGAAATCAACTAATTGTTTTTCGTATGAACGCGGGTCATTTTTATCGTTTGGTGATAATTTAGTTTCTGAACGGACAATAATAATTTCTATTCGAGAAACATCATTATTTGTTCGTTTTCTCGGATATTATTATAGTTTTTTTTTTTTTTTTTTTTACATATATATAAGAACGATGAGACTATATTATTGTACTATAGTATAATAATATATTATTTTGTTAGCGTATATTGTTATTTTAGTGTATGCGTTCGTTTGTTAACATTTTTGGACAAGTCCCGAAAACTCCGATTATAATCTCTTTTGCGGGTTTAATTTTCTACTGCAATAGGTAGGTAGCATCCTATATATGGAAATATTATCCTCGATAATAATATTATAATTCCGCCTTTGTTTGGTTCGTTTTTGGCTCGCTTTATTTCCATACATTCTGCAACGAACCGGGGCTATTTATTGCGTTTACCATTACCTACTACTATATTTTTTATCGCATATCACCTATTTCGAAAATATAAGTGGTGAAATTCATAACTAATAATGTAAATTACTTAATAAATAAAATTGACTCATTACTAATAAATATTATATAATGCGTATAGTTACTACAGGTTCATTATATCCGCGTGCCCAATAATAATACCACAATCATATTGATTTATTCGATTATTTTAGATTATGATGGTGTATAGCTTAGTTTCGCTGAGCTTTTTTGTTTTCAGTAAAAATAATCCGATTTTTTCACATCAAACCTTAAACGATAAGCCGCCCGGCGCGATACATTCCTTAAAACGAGTTTCCAAAGTTCAATAGTTTACCCCGTAGATACTTCTTATACTTGCTTTGGTACATAATAAAAAATGATCTAAATTGTTGGCATCGTACTTTAAAAGATGCCCGACAGAACTTTATTCGAACACGTTTTCTATAGACTCTCGAAAACTGACAACAATTAATGTTTTATTTTTGTTTACTTCCGGGATACCTCTTGGCTCTGTTCAAAATCGTTTTCCGATTGCAATGATTTATCGTCGCTTTCTTAACTAAATTACCCTCATGACCATTGTCTATGTAAACATAATGAAACACAAAAACATATCCTTTCAATTTTGCAATAAATTTTAACGTGTATACCCTTTATTGTAATAATATATCTGCGGTATAATTTACTATGTTTTTGGTGAACCTACCCTAACCTATATTATAATATTATTATAACAAAACTGCTACTAACATTACCATCATCATGTTATCGTACCATGTAGTGTTTTTTTTTTTTTTTTTTTTTGGAGCTAAAAAGCAGTTATCGTTTTAAAATAATAATAATATTCACCGCTGTCTGTGTGTTATCTCACGTATATAAAAATTTTTTTTTTTTTTTTTTTAAATATATTTTTCATTGTTTGTCATTAGACATTTCAAACGCATTTTTGACTAAAAAGATAACACAATGTGCATCATACAATGCACAGCTTTTCGCAATACAAAAAAAACCCCCCACATAATAATAACACAAAAACCGGCGGTTATAGTCGTTAAGTAGGTGTTTTTCGACTGTGGTAGTGCCAAATTTTAAACGGTTTTTATATTTTTACGTTGTTTTTTTATTGATCACTGGCCGTTTTTAAATCGATAAAATACGGTACGCGAACAGAATCAATTGCCCAGGTCTCGTAAGTAAATGAGAAAACTGTACTCACTATAAATCACCTACCTTTATAGGTATTATTATTATTATTGTCATCTGAGGCGACTCGAAATATTTCATTTGGTCGGTCAAGTGGTATAAACTAATACGCACCCCAGTACACTTCTCACAAGTATAACATATCCCGTGACCATTTTTGTTATTTTCTTTATTAATATTGTTTATTAAAAAAAAAAAAAAAAAAAAACAATATTCAAAAGTGCAAACACAGTATGATATTCAGGTACTTGATTTATGGTTGAAGGAACAACTAAAAACTATGTTACTGATTGTGATTTTTGCTGACGACTATAGGATAATTAGCCGAGTACATCGGAGAGGTCATTGGGATTTAGCACGAGCTCGGTCTATGTGATTCACATAGACATTTGAACGACGCCCGCGCGCACCGTCGACCCCGAAATTTTCGGTTGTCCGGTGAACCACCAAAACTATATACTCGACGAGTGATTATCGTTTCTATACGAAATTAATTTACGCTTTGTAGAATACCGAACTCGACAACAGTTTTCACGTTGACGGTTATCACTGCACGACGATCAAACTGGTTAGTCCATACCTATGCCTATCGCGTCGTATTTTTTTTTTTTTTCTCTCGATCGATACGCGCCTTTCATAATAATTTAGTATCATAATGCGCGGCCCCGTATATAATATGGATGCTAATAGGGCGAGTAATAGACGTAACTAAACGATTACCGGTCGGGAGATAACAAACACTATGAAGTGCCTATATAATAATATAGTAGTATAATATTATATAGTTCGTATATTATTATTATTATCGTCTCGTGAGATTTATAGGTTTCGCGTCGGCGACGACAATCGCGGGGTGCGTTAATAACAATAATAATTGAGCCGTTAAAAACATTGTAGACGCGCGTTAATAATAATCGTAATACATCGCGATAGAACACCGTACGATTCGTTTTTTCGGTTTTTTTTTTTTTCTTCTTCTTCTAATCTATATTTTATCACGCCCGCTATGATACGTTAGAGATACATCAGCCGACGCGTAGCCACGTGCATTATAATACCCGCGTTGTTTTCGCGTCGGCGCGTAATCTCGCCGTCAGTCGAAAACGATCGCGTACCGCCGCCGCCGTTGCAAGGATTCGTAGACGACGACGGGCATACGCGCTTACCGCCGGCTAACCGTAATAACATTATCATCGCCGTCATCATACGCTATACATTATGACTTAATATCACAGTATTCCGCCTTATTATTATCGGGCCCGCCTCGGCGCGGCCACGCGTCATCACGACAGCACCGCCGAATGATACCTAATAATAATAATAATAATATTGTTATTATTATTATTGTTATAAATTAACCGCGTTGGAAAAAAAACCGCGCGCGCGCGCACCTACGCCTCGTCGGCCGCCACCGGAGAGAATGATAACATTACGGCCCGGGCGAACGGTATCGGCCGTCGGTACGCGGAGCCGAACAATAATGTAATTGTGCCGCGTATCGTAATTACCATCGCGTTGCGTTTCGTGTACGTCCCCGGCCGTTCACGTGCTTACGTTGTACGCCGATGGGCATTGCGGGCGTATTTCAATCGGGGCGCGGGGGAGAAAGATCGCGGTACGCGATAGTTTATGGCGATAGTGGCGATAGTGGCGATAGTGTTATAAACCATTGCGCGGGCCGAACCGCGGGACGGGCCGGGCGGTCCGTCGGCCCGATCCAATGCCGACCGGGATCGCACGTGTGTACCGACGATGACTCGAGAGGACGTCGTTCCCGCATCTACCGTCTCGGTCCAGCTATCGGGCGAGATGCGAGAACAACGCCCGCGCGGAATAAGTGAGACCGGCTCGGTTTTGACCGCGGAGTAAAAGCGTTATGCGATTTATGGAGAACAATATTTCGGAGGCGATTGCATACGTGTTTTTTTGAATTATGACTTACCGAACAAGTTACAGTTTCTCAAGAAAAACGATTAGCGTCACGAATTTACTTATTTATAGTTATTTCGTGTTTAACGCTAACTGCTTAACTAGCGAAACGGTTTGCGTCGCGTAAAAAGATTTTAGTAATTTGCCGCGCCGAGTTATTTTAGAATGTAATTTCATGTTTATCGGCTCGGCCCGTCCTGACGAAATTCACTTGTTTCGCTTATCAATATAAGTACAATGTAAAACTACATAGTCTGCGCACTTCGTTTTATTATTATTTATCGTGTTTTCATCTAACAATCAAACTTTGATAACAAATTTAACGAATAGTGTACATTCGATAGAGAGCCGTTGTATTTAGTGATTTAGCGCCCTCGGGTAACAATTATATTTTTCTTCGTTCCCCTTTTTTCTCGCAGCGCTAAAAATTCACTCTTTACTATTATTCTTTATCATCATTGACTGGTCTGAAACTCACTTCAAAAAATAATTGTACTTTATTACAACTAAAAAAAAACCCCTATATTTTTCTTCTCATTAAACTTTTAACTTTTAAAAGTGTTAAACGATTGCACCGACACAACGCCACAATTTATATATTATAAATACTATGTTTATATTTATGCATCATAAAGTATACATATAAAACTGCTGAACGAAAATTTGCTATCACGCGGTTGTATGGCGGAGACAAGTCAAGTTGAAAACTATCTTTCCGTAGAGCAACTCGAAGACAGTGTACAAAGAAACACTCGTATCGTATTATGGAAATGTCAAGACGCTTAGAATATTCGTACAGTTACTATTCGTATTTTTTTTGTTTGATACACCGAGTGCCAAAAATTTAAACTGATAAACGAGAATAAAGATATTTTACAATTCATTACTTTAACATGACCACTCCCTAAATACGGTCCTATCTATCAATGTTTAAGGTCAAATAATTGTTTAGTTTAGGTTCATTCATGATCATTGAAACGCATAATTTCAACATTATATAAAACTTATTTGAATAAGAAATAAAAATGCACCGAATGAACATTTAGAAGTCATTCGAAAAAATGTATTAAAATGCGAAAAAAATCTATAGAGTTCAGATATAATTTGAACAGTAATTATGTCAACCTCAAAACTTTCCTGATTTAACGCCTAACGGAGCGGCGCCGAATTATCTACCAACTAATAAAATTAACAGCGTATTTAAATTGAACGGTTGGCCCAGCAGTGGCTGATTTAAAGGTGGCAGAGGGAACAGGGACCTAACACCTTCATATTGACCTATGCATGTTAATAAACAAGATAGTATTGGTGTTTGAAAACATTTTTTGTTTTTGCAATTCGTTTTCGTTTATTCCAAGCATACAACAAGTAGAAACATAATACTATTTACATTTGTTCCTATAGTTGACATTATAAATTATGTTGACGGGGCAAATGAAAAAGCCATTTTTCGTGTAGAGTAAACAGTATATTCAATTGGAAAACGTCAGCCAATAGAAATATTTAATGTAAATGATAGTACAGGGAACAAAACAAAAATAACATTATAATATTCTACGGTTACTAACAGTTTATCGAACTTGCAAATTTCGATTACAATTTCCCAATATCTGCTATTGTTATTACATTTTATTTTTTATTTGTACATTGATCATTTATTCTAATTCAAAAAACAAATACACAAACCAAGTGTATGAAAAATTAATTTTTGAAGATTTAAAATTCAATTCGTCGTTAACATTTATATAGAAGCTTTAATGTTGGAAAATGCTATGTGGGTAATATAATTTTTTCGGGCCCATATCACAATAGTAATATTTCATATAATAATATAATATAAGAGGAGTATTATACTTATAATAATAATAACGCAATAATACGAGAAGTGGTCGGTTTTTGCCATTTTTTTGTTGTTTCTTCTCGTATTATTATGATTATTACGATTCTGCCACACAGATAAAAGCAATTACTTTAAAACGCTAAGGGACCGACGATGTGATAACAGTGTGTTGGATTATTATTATCATTATTATTTGGTTTTTTTTGACGCGCTATTTTTTTTTTTTTTTTTATGAGGTGTGCCACGGGCGATAATACACAATAATAATGATAAATTATTATAATTAAAAGAAAACCGACCGATAATTGAAAGTGTACGTGTACGTTTTCGAGCGGAAAAAAGAAATGAAGAAATGTCAGTTTTTAATGTTATCTGCAAAAACCCGGCACCGAAAATAGGTATTATATTGTCTACTCGTCGAAACCAACCGGACTTGTACCACCTTCTTACCTCGAATATATTACATTTATTATTTTTTAATTTCGCTTCGAATTTATTTTAGATTTCGCCAGTGAGCGAGTTATAATGACGTTTTCGATTATTATTATTATTATTATTTTTTTTTTTTTTTGTCCTTCCCGCAAAGAGATACGTAGAGTTTTCGCAAGGTAACGCGGATATAAAAATGTTCGAAAAGTTTTATACTATCCGAGCATAATATTTTATTATTACCATTTATTATTACATAACTCCACGGTTTAATTTTTTTTTTTTTTTTTTTTTTACAAAACTACACGTCATGCGTGATTTCAAAAAAATAAAATAATAAACGTTATTTTATTGAAAAATTAGTTTTTTGTAATTTTTTCAATTTTTGTATACAATAACTGTTAAATTAAAAATAATTGAAAAATATAAATTAGTTCGATCTAATTAAATTCGATTAATTTAAGTGACAAATTTTGAGGATACTCTGTTTAATTAGTCAAGTAAAAAGTTACCGCCCGTAACTATGTATTCATAAACCCATTTTGTTCTCTAATATTTATATAACTCAGAGAACAAAATGTGTTTCTGAATATATAGTTACGGGCTGGTAATTTTTAAAAGTAACTTTTTACTTGACCAATTAAATATAACTTATATAAATGTACTAAATGCAGATCTGTACAGTCAAAAAAAAAAAAAACCGTTAGAAATAACTAAGTTTCAAAAAAATAACTGAGTTGATTTAAATTTTTTTTCTTAAATTAGTTAAGTTAAAATTCGTCAATTAATTTGTAGCATTTCAACTAGACACTAAGAATCTAAAAGCACTACGAAAAAATGAGGTGTAAAAATAATTTTTTAGTGTATGGTGTAACTACACTAATGTATGTTGTGTGGTTTTTTTTTTTTTTTAAATGTATTATTCACTTTTTGATTGGAAATACACGATTATGAAAATCAGAAATTGAACCCTTCCCCCTCAACCCTGTAAAAATATACTTAATCTAGTTGGTTACCACTGAAACAAGCGGTAATATCTATGAAATAATTAAGTTTAACGATTTTTCATTATAAAACAAATAACTCGTTATGCCATATTATGCTTACGTCATGATAGTAATAATAATAATGAAACACTGTGTTAATATAGTGTATACCTCTTATATTCGTTCATTGAGCATACCACTGCGTTGACGTCAAAGTCAACGTCTAGGATCACTTTTTACATTTGTTTTCTTTATATTGTACATAGTTAGTGAAACTAGCGAAAAATCTTCGGGACAACCACGTTTGCGGAGAATGGAGAAGAAGGAAGAATGCGGAGCCCGGAGGCAAGCTATTACAAGCTAATAAAAACAGAACAGAATCCGTATGAACCGTGTGGTAAACGACCTCTAGGAAGAACGGGAACAGAATGTTGTTACGTACAGGATTATATTTTGCGGAGGTTCCAACTGGAAATGAAAAATAAACGGATAGGAAAAGGACATTGGGGATTGGGCGTGAGACGGGATGTTGGCCCTATCGGAGGTCTAAAAACCGGAGACGAATAGAAGATCGAATATAATATAACGTTATCGCATAGTAAATAAGATACTAAACTATTACGGTGTTATTATACTACATTTTATAGGACGTCGGGGCCGCTAAATGTTAAAATTGTTGCTCGATTAAATTTTTCAAAAACTTTTTGGGCCACCGTTGAGATTTCGCAAATACACACGATGGAATTTTACATTTTTCGTTTCATCATCCACCGCCGCGTAAGATAACAACGCGCTTTAATGTAATGTATGTGCGTGCATAAATATATACATATTTTTTTTTAAACTCGCATTATTCGCGTAATAAATTAATCGGAATTTCAACTAGCGATGGCTCTCGATATAAATAATTACGGCGAGATAATAATTATCACGGGCGTAATGACTCGTAGCGATGTTATTGTCGCGGTCGCATTTTTCCGCCGAGATAATTTTTACACGTCTAGTTATTTCGACGCGACTAATGTGAGTCTATACGTATTATAATAATAATATAACCCGCCCGAATATCACACGAATAATGCTTTTGTTTTTTTTCTTATCTGCGTTTTGTTTTTATTACTATTCATTTTCTTAGCGTCTCCTTTTTGCCGAGATTTTTTTTTAATTTGTATCGTGTATATATGTATATATATATATACAGACTGAGCCTGCAGGGAAACGGGAAAATTTGAAGTTACTTTCACAAAAAACAAGGAAAAATTAATTTTAAAGTTTTATTGTTGAAAACAAAAAGTAAATTACACGCCGTTAAGCGTACCAAGACACTCAATTTATATTTTTAAACACAATGCCCGTAAAAAATGCGCTCCTGTAATCGAAACTGAGCTGGGTTCGATTTAACGGCGGACGACATTCACTGGAGCCCCTAAGATTATCGACTGAATTACGGCGTTATGCATTTTGTATTCTGACCATCACATTAAAAGAGAAGTGTACAACACTCGCTCGATTCGAAAAAGAGAATTCAAGAGGACATTTCTAGGATTCGTGTGGCAAAGACCGCAAAGGTGTCAATGTGTCATGCGAAATCTTAGCGTTCATCGTCTACACTGCCCATTGTTTTTATAGAATATGACATTTTTTTGTCTTAACGTTAGTTAACAATTAATTTCGTACCGCTTTTGTGAGAGTTATAACTTTAAATATTTCCTGTTCGCCTGTCTCACGCTATATTAAATTGGTCGTAGGATTCGTGGAAACGCTGTTGCGATGTTGAAGATAAAAAATAACTGTATTCTCGAAAAATGTAGATTTCGCTATAAAAGATTAATAGCAATTATTATTATGTCACGGAATAGTGCACGGGAGCAGAACGGGTGGTAGGACCCCTCCGACCCCGAGTGGAAGGATGAATTCTTTACAACGTGTAAATAAAAAATTGTAATTAATGGGTGATTATTATTCTATACAACTATTATGTGTACCGTCTTAACACAGTAAAACATTAACTATATGGTGGAAAAAATAATTAACTACTAGTCGTGTTTACGTGTTTACACATAACATATTAATAATTAAGAGGGCGTGTGTTGTACTTGCACGTGTTGTCTCCGTCTTACAAACGTACGCAAATTCGCGTTCAACAGGGACAACATTGTGCTGTTAGTTTAATATTACATTGAATCGACCTTTTTTTCAAGTTCAAAGATACCCGCAACGTTGGCTATAATATTATTTTGTTGTTTTAATTTTTAAAAACGTCACAACGTTATTATGGCTGTCGGATGAAAACCGCGGGACTGTGGATGTCTGTAAATTTGGCAAATTACGCTAGGACTATACAACTAGTATCAATATTTTGCCCGGGCATTTTTAGATAGAGACCTGTAGTATTCACAAAATACTTAAATCGGCCATTTGTAGACGTGGTAACGTTTTCAAAACGTTCTAGCTATGTTTAGGTTATTTAGAGCCCCCGGATATTTGATATTTTCCTGTTTTTTATAATATGTATTTTGATTCGGCGCAGAGAGGTATCCGTTAATAATCCGAAAATATCCTAGTAAAGTCAAGCGAATTCGTCCGAATGTATTGACGTTTTTTTTTTTTTTTTTTCGGAATCCAACAATGTGCCGTCGCAAAGATAGCGGCCGGCGTGTGTGTGTGCGGATTCCCCCGGGGTTCAGGAGGCTTTAGGAGTTCAGTAGGAGCCCCCGAATTCCTAGCGGTGCACCGACGCCCGCCGGTTTTATTTTAGTCCTATAGCTGCAGCACAACGTGCCGGTGCCGGCCCGGCGGACGCGCGGGTCTCGCGCGCCCCGGTGTTTAAATACAAAACCGAATGGTATCGGCTGTTGCGGTTGCACGGCCGTTAGCGGAGATGACGTTGTTTTTTCGCCGTCATCACGTCATCGGCATTAACGACCGCAGCTCGTGTACCGCCTACGCGCCGAGTGTATCATACTCGTAGCAGTAAAAATATTAACAATAATATGATGTACTACGTATACACACACACACGCGCGCACGAGACATAGATAACGGCGGTAGCCCACACCGAGTATTATTGTTATTATTTGTAAATGTAATGTAAACTTATTTTATTATCGTAGATACGAGCCCGCGCGTATTTATACATTTACATTTTTTACACCGGGGGGGTCGTCGTGAGGAAATATTCTGTTAGGTTTCGTGTCGTCGTCGCCAGTCGTAACCAGTTAAATACCGTCGGGGTGTGCGTGTGTGTGTGTGTGTATACAACAAAAATAATATAGCCGTCGTATTATTGGCGGCAGGAACGACACACCGCCGCCGCGTATCGGGTACGGTGCACGTAACACACGCGCGCATACACGCGTACCCGTGTAACGTACACTCGCGCGTATTTATTATTGTTAATAGTGTTTCGTAGCCGCGCGCCATTATAAACGAAAAACGGAACGGTTATCGCAGCCGCCGTTGTATCATTATACCGATGCGTCCCGTGTGTGTCGGCGCGATGTTTTTATCCGATTTTATATTTCAAACCCGTTGTATTTATTACCGTTATGCCGCTCGCGAAACGCGATATCCCGACCGATTCACCGCCGTTGCAGTGGTAACAATACGCATATCCGAGTGCGTACGGAACATACGCGGGGCCATCGTATTCGGCGGGCGCGACGGCGACGGCGACGCGATAAAACGGCGTTTTAATAACAATAATATTTATCGTCGATTCCGCGAGCGGCCGCTGCGGCGTGCCCGAAACTATATCAAAAGCGTGCGGAGTACGCGGGCGCGCAGCGTTATGGCGTACACCATAAGTTGATTACGAACGCGTTGCTCACTGTGGGGGGGGGGGGTAACGTCGGAAAACCGTCCAAATAGATCGCGCTCGGCGACGAATGTCGCGTCTGAACGTGTATTCACTGGGAAAACGTAAAAGAGCCGTTATTTTTGATTTTTTTTTCCTCTTTAGAAAATAACGTTTAAAATCAAAACACTGTTGCTCGACAAACAAATCGGATCTAACCGCGTCGGATTCTGAGCGAAACGACGAACGCAAAGCGATTTCCGCATGCGTGGTCTTTTGGCGTCTGTAATCGAATTGTGTACCGGAGTTCTTGCTCCGTACAACACATTCAATGGATCTTTCACGTAGAATTTTCCATTTAGTTGGGGTTGTTTTACGGTTGTCTTTGTAGTTTCCAAAATAGTTGGGAAAAACTAATGGTTCGTCGTCTCGTTTTCGTTTTTCACCCCGAAAACGAGTACAAAAACAATTGAACGCCCATTGACATAAATAGTATTTTTGTTCGTTTTAAATTAATTTACATTTCATATATAATTTTTTGACGGTCAACCTATAACAAACGTTTTTCTTTTTACGGTAATATAATTAAAACACGCGTTACATATTATGCATTTTATCAGTTTATCAATTGCTTTCGTTTACGGTAACAGAAAAATTACGTTTGATAAATAAATAAATAAATGCGATCTATGAAAAGAGGGTATAGCGCTGTGTAGTTTTATGTTATTTTGTCTTCTCGTCATGTTTGAGTAAAATAAAAGAAGGACGAATGCGTTTAATTTTTTTTTTTCTTTCAAGTCGAACCAATATACTTTCTTTTCAAACTTACTTTAAAACATTTTCCAATTTCAAAAAAAAAAAAAAAAAGAAAACGAACGGAGAAACTAATATTTCGCACAACGTCCGACAAGGAATCGAACATGATGAAGTCTCTATTGCACTTTTCCGGCGAATATTCAACTAGACTCTTTGCGAATTATAAAGTAAACTATTTATGGTTAGTTTTACACCGTAAATTCTCAAAAATATTAATGCTATATTTTTTTTAAGAATAAAAAAAAAAATTGCCTATAGTGATGATTAGAGCTCAAGATTTATTGCACTTAAAATTCATAAAAAAAATATTTAAAACGTCAAAAAATCACTGAAAAAATGCACTTGATAAATGTTTAAAAAGTAAAAATGAAGGGTAAAAGTTGACCCTTCTACCATTATTTTTCTTCCCCTTTAACGGCTCTAACTTATTAAATACAAATATTCTAACGCTACACAAATGATTAACAAAGTCATTTTTTTTATAATACGTATAACTTTTTTATCGTTTTTAAACGGTTTTTATTTTTATGAATTTTAAGTGAAATAAGTCCCGAGCTCTGCTGATGATTTATAAAAAATTGCTAATGAAAAAAAATAAGGTTTTATACATGTATATATATTTTTCTTCCCTGTCGGAAAGAAAGAAATTAAAAAAATAATGGATATAGTAATGCAGAAGATATATAATACATAGAGTAGTTTAATTTATACCTGTGAGCAACGGTAAACTATTGCTAATGAAAAATGATTCTGAGCAAAGTATTATTACTTATTAGTTTTATTTTTTTCCATGTTGCCAATGTAACACAGAAAACAACGAAAATTATACGCAAAATTACCAGATATTCCCGTTTATTAAGAAAAATTTAAAAATGACCGGCCCAATTAGACTAGTATGTTATTTTAACGTAAAAACTAACTAAACTTAATTCGTAATCAGCCCGTACTTACTCAATAAAAATCATATTTTTCCCTGAAAACATCAAGTATGTATCATCTTTATATAAGTTGTAGCATCACAACTGCTTTTACTATATGTACTCACATCAGTATTATAGTAATATTAAATATTAATGTAAGACCAGACCTATGAACCAATTTATGCAACTCAATTAAGCTAAATCAACTGACAAAAATTTTAACGAGTAAACAAGGTACCTATGAGTTAAAAGTCAATTTAAACATTTAATTAAATAAATAACGTCAGTTATGCGAATATTTCCGAAAATTGTTTTTGTGATTTTTTGAAAACTAAATAATTTTATTAACATCAAATAATGTCTTCTTTAATTGAAATGTTGTACCTGTCCGCAATACTACATATTATAAAGACGCATACTATAATTTAATATTATAATGAATTTTATTCGTCTATTTGTAATGCGTCTTATTTTAAATATTCAATCGGGACGCGTAGGTGTTTGTCGATTTTTTTTTTTTTCCATTCCGATCTCATATGATAATCTTAATGGACGTCACAGTAAATGTTATATTATCATATTGTACCGTATCATCATAGTGTGCAATCGCAGTAAAACCAGTTTAGATGTCTTATTAGATTAATTTATTTATTACCTTGGACGTCTCGAACGCTATAGGTATATTTATATTAATGGCAATTTGTTATCGTTGTAAAAAAAATAATAATAATAATAATATCGTCATTCGGTATCGGAATGTACGGAATTGTATTCGTGTTTAAATCGGTATTTTATGCTTGCCATTTAAAAACATCCGGATTCACGTCTAAAACGCGTTATTTTAACAACAATCGTAGAGGGCGGCCGTATAATTCTAGTTTTGAATCGTTTTTTATTTATTGCGGCGAGAGAAATTTTCACGACACGTTTTTTTTAAACCTATTTTATTCGATTATGGTTGTCGAATTATTATGTATAGGTATAAATAATATTAATAAACCGACTGATATAAACGTACAGCCCAAATTGCTGGATTTATATACTTGAAATTCATTCTTTATGTAGCATAGAATATCTTTAACGAAATCTTTTTTTTTTTACAAATTTCAACAACAATGAGGATAAATATGTATTAAACGTAAATGCCTTTATTGCGTTGAGTGAATCTTTACTAATATTATAAAACAAGTGAAACGTGTTTTTGGTTATCCTTTTACGCGATAACCGATCGACATGATTTTTTTGCCCAAAGATAGTTGGATGACTGGAAAGTGACACAGACTATTTTTTCCTTCCGGAAAAATATTTCATTCCCGTGGGAAACATTGCCCATATCTATTATATTTGTTTTAATGTTTTACTTTAAGGAGTTTTAACTTGAATTACCGTTTTTCTACTTATAGATAGAGCTCAACCAGGACTACTAAACTCTATCCTAGTTCCACCTCCTTTTCAACCAACACTTGATTGAGAAACTACCCCCAAAAAACTAATCAACTATTATTGTAGCCCAACCTATGAGAAACGATTCTATAATATATGACGAAGGTGCTTAATGAATGTTGCAGCCGATTAAACCACCTATTCATTCCCAATTTTTAAAAATGTGTGACTCCTAGGGATTTTGACTATGAGTGGCTATTACTGCACCATTAGACAGAACTCATTGAGGACCGTCTACCTATATCCTAATAATAAAAATAATAATAAATCGTTTCTGAAATTCAATCATTTAAGTTTTAAAAATAGGTGTAAATGTGAAAACATAACTATTATGGTAATTTGGAACGATGGCGTTTCAAAAGTAAACGACCGAAGACTGTGGTTTATATAAATACATGCAATTTCAAAGGAAAATAATTTCGTTTTTATAAGTTACCTAATAAGAATAGTTTAAAATATCCGTTACTATTTCAAACTGTTAGGATTATATTTAAGTTTTGTATACATTTTACATATTTATCTTTCATACACTACGAAGCCTTATAAAATATTACATGGACGAAGTCATAATTAAGACAGCTAGTTTTTATTATACATACAAACGCGTATCTTAGTAAAACTGGTTTTTAGTAAAACTTTTCGGCAACTGAGAATCTATAAAAAAAAAAATACAATACAAGTATGTACTGTATAGATATAGCAATACAATTAAGGTACACATGAATTAATAATATTCATTTGTATTTGTTATATTCCGTGTGTAAAAAGTGGAAAAAATTCGAACACATTAAGTATATCCATGGAATTAATGCCGTCGATTACTATACTCTCATCATTTACTTATTATACCTATTATTAGTATAAATAATATTCAATCTAAAAACAATAAACGTTATGGTAGTGGACGTGTTGTTTAATATTAAGGTACTTGATTTTTAATTATTAAAGATTTTTTTTTTTATCGTAACACTTTGTAAAATATGGAAATATACTATGCCATTTTGCATAATACATTATTCTGGAATGCCTGTTACGGCGTTCTGGAAAATAATAATATACCTGTATTATACAACGAGCTATACGGGACTTGATTACAAAAATTATTATCTTTTGAAACAATTTCTGCGCTGTCAATTAATAATATTATTATCGCCGTGTAATGTATAGTACGACGCGAAATCTCACTATACAGCACAGTTTTAAAAGAAACGCAATTCGCTTAGAATTTCTACGGTTCGTGACGTAGAACACATCGTCTGCATCATCTCTGCGTGGATACCGCAACAAATTCATTGAAATATAATGTCGAGCAGAAAGTTAATTTTCATATAAGACAGAAAAAACAAATGTATAATTAGGTTCCTAATACACGGAATGCTCATACTTAGTTACTTTATTATGTATAAAATACCCAATGAATAATAATCAAACGGGTTCTATATCTACGTCCTCGCGGAGAACGCGTTTCAGTCATTATTATTGTGCGTATACACTATAAAACGACCGACACGCACTAATTTAATAATAATAATATATATTAACGGCGCCAATTTTGTCGGCCACTCGATTATACTCGTAAAGTATATTTCAAATATAATGATTATTATTGTAATTAAGTATAATCTGTTATTTTTATATTTTCTTCCGACGAGGAGAGAAAACACCTCTATACACTGTTTATTTCAACGTACTTGTGCATATAAAATATAATTTGTATCATTTTTCAGTTGCATTTGTTTAATAAGTCCCACACGTGTTTGGAACGTAAAAAAATACAATTTATATATATATGTGAAACGTGGGTAATATAAATGATACTGAAAAAGAAAATATTTAGAAGTTTTTGAGATGTGGCGTGGAAAAGATATAAAGTCGGATAGCGAAAAAGAGGATTCGATTAGAACGGGAAGTTGGTTAGTTAGTCTCACTGCATGCCCTGAGACCAAGTGGGTGAGACACCCAGAATAACAGTATAATATAGTTTTATAGAGGGCATGATTGAATGGAAGACACATACATTGTAACATTTACGGAACAGAACAGATTAAAAATGATGCAAGAACCTAAACTTTGTGAGAACTAAAATGAATAAAACGGCGAACAGTCGATTAAAACGGAGAACTGGACCGTTTTACAACAGGTTTGAGAAAAAAAACATCCTTAATGGATTACCTGTAAAACATTTGAGATTTCCACGGTACTCGGGTTCGGGTCAGTATATTATTTTCTATTACACGTCTGCGTCAACTCGGTTTTTAAACTTATATACTCATCCGAAACAGTCAACGGCCGTCGGCGCGGTGAGTGTACATTTTTTTTTTTTATTATATTCTCGCCGACAAATCCACAGGCTAAAAACGTCAAGTTAATAAATATAATATCATATTGTTGTACACACACAGAACGCGAATTCCACGAAAACGGTACACTTTTAAAAACTACTTCGAGTACATAATATAATAGCTAACAGTTAATGCCAACTGCTTTGAAAATACAATTTCACCGCAACGAACCACGAGCACATAAATTCATCAGCGTTCCATTACGGCTGTATAATACAATAGTAAATAGGTACCTATCACAAACACGATATTCCAAAGAGCTGATACGGCTGATGAGTGGGCGACTGTAGCAATTGGGAAGTTGGTGAGGCAGGATACGTATAGCGATAGGATACGTTGAGTTATTTGATTTCTATCTGCAGTACGCAACGATACATAACTGTTAACAAAATACGATGCATTGAAATTTCGTAATTTTTACGATTTTCGTAGACATTTTAATTTAAAATGCTTATAAAAAAAACGACTACGGTATACTCTCAATTCTGTTTATTTAACCACCAAGTAAAACCTTTAATGTGTATGTGAATACATTTTTAACCGTTATTGTTCGGCGACAATAATTTTACTTATATATTAAAACAAAAAAATAAAAATTCTCGACAATTTCAGATGCTTATAAATTATACTCAAAAGCCTCCAGAATGTATTATAAGTATTTTGTAGAAAGAATTAAAATAAAAAGAATTTAATTGAAAATAGTGAAATCGTTATTTCTGTAAACTTTTCTGGTGTTTTTACATTTTTTTCCGGTTTCCCAACTATTAGGAAAACTAAGAGGTAAATTATAAAAACGATCTTCACATCGTACCAACAAGATCCTAAATTCTACAAAAAAACTCTCTTGTCAGTTTTTGGTCTGAGCAAGATTTCTGGTATAAAATCCGTATCATAGTAAAACCGATACATTCCTCGATGGGCTCAGAATTTAAAACACAACATTGAAAACACTCTGCAGTGAATATGTTACCGCGATGTCTGATTATTCGTGTAATAATTGTTCATAAATTCAAAATTTCGATGCAGGTATTAATTGGAGGACGTTTGTTGAACTCTGTAGGTATTGTTTTTGTCTAATTTTCCACAAAAACAAAGATTAGTGCACTGTATTTAGTTTTTATACCATATTCAGTAGTTTCCCTTAGATCAAATTATCTCAAAATTGGGAATTAGAGTTATTTTATAGGTATACTTCTGGAAGTTTAGAAGGAGATCGTTAAATATAGAAATAATTTTTTTCATTTATCCAATATTAAAACGAAATGCTCCGAATTCGCTCGCGTCGTATCTTGAAAAAAAAAAATTGCTGTTTTTAAATTTCCAGGCACCCAGGCACAGTAACCATAGTTTATTGTGGATCCTCGCAGAGCGATTTATGTCCTGCTTGCTTTTTTTTTCAAATAACCGTAAATACAAAACGTATTATGTTTTTGTTATTCGGTATGTATATAAGACGGAGTCGCTGTTTCCTATTTATTATAGTATAGCTTGTAGCACTTATCTAAACGCCAACCGCATCTACTATTTTGTCCGTTTTACAATACGGGTCAATATACGGTTAATTGTATTACCCTTTAGACGCACGTGGTTGAAACTAGAAAGCGTGATATATACAAAATATAATATACAATAATATGTATTATGTAAATGTTAACAACGCGCATCTCATACATAAAACAACAAAATTTTGCGGCGTGAAAGCGCTAAAGAGGAGATACTACGACTTACAGCGCTCTTAAAATTGCCAGGCCAATCGGAAAAAAAAATGTGTATATATATACTGTTTCGAATCTGTATATGACGTTAAAGTGTTTGGTATACTAACATGTTTATAAGTATATATACCATCTACCTACGAGCTACAATATAAACGTAAATGTCACCGCGCATTATCACTAAAACATACGTACGTATATATAAAATATTTTAGTAAGTAATTTATATATTTTGTTTTTATACATATATCTGCGATGTAGACCGGTAACCATGACACACTGGAATATTTTTGAAAGTCGATATACATAATATTTTTGCAACCGACAACGGTAATTTTGAAAAAAAAAAAAAAACAATATTTAAAAAACTAGTTATAATTTTTTTTTTTTCATGCGAATCCGTCTATTATCATTTAGTTTGAAATCTATTTGGGAATTTATCTTGTAAAGTAATAACAATGTTGAATATAATATTAAATACAGTAATCACCTTGATCGTAAATCGCAACTGAGCAGTTATAGAGGTAGTTATGTAGCTACATGATATATTTTAAGGAGGTCCTTATTTATAGGAAAATATAAAAGATAATATTTTTGATTTCTCACTCTGTTCATTACTAACAATTTTCATAAATTTAGTCGTGATTACCTAACTCTTTTACACGTCACAAAATGTTCGAAAAATAACAAAATACGGTAGTTTCGTAATTTTTTGAGTTTAATTAAAAACAATTGCACTTATAAAAAAAAATGTAATTTAATTATAGATATTTAAGTTTCCAATCAAAAATACATTCTTACAATTTCTAATCAATTTTTTATTTCCCAAGAAAAATTATGAAATATCTAATATTGAATTTATTTTCCAAAATTGATATTTATGTGGTCATTCATACATTTTTGAATGACGGTTGATGATACGATAAAATATTTTAAGTAAAAATGATAAAAAGAATAAGAAGAAAGCTTATATAAGTTGAATTGATTATTGTATTGTAATAGTCGTGTGACACGTAAAGTGATTGAGTAATCATGACCAAAATTACTTTCTCAAGTAATGAATAAAATGCGAGGGCAAGAAATCAAAAATTTGAAAGTTTAAAAATGAGGACCACTAGTCACTATCATACTATAAGTATTGTGTTGTGAATAAATTAGTTGTTTTAGTTATTTTAAGACAAGTAGGTATATAGAAATACCTCGGTGAAATTTAATCCGATTACTGTTATGATACATGTTAACCGAAAAAAATTGTTTATTATTAGGTATATAAAGAGTGTATGTTAAAAAAAAAAAAAATTAATTACTATTAATACAACAATAACAACTTCATCTATTTATGGAATTTTTAATACATAGGTGATCATTTGAAAATCAAGTGAGTGTTGGTTTCACCTCCAAAAATAAGGGTGACAAAAATTAAAAGTAACATTTTAGAGAAACATATTTCTTAAATTCTACCAGAAAAAAAAACTCCGAATAAAATTAATACTTTCTGAAATAATTGAGTATCTTATCACTCTGTGTATACATTTAACAGACACAATACAGTGCATTAGTCTCTAATTTTAGGGAAAATTCAACAAAAACCAGAAAAACATTTAATGATTTTCGTACGGTAATTTGACAATGTTATTATGATTAAAAACTTTTCGGGTTCTAAGTAAATATATTGATTTATTATATTACATAATATATACTACAACCACGATGTTTGGCTAAATTGTTAGTTTGTGGCCGAGACCCACTATTGAGTTCTCGTTAAATGTAAAACTGGTAAAATATAATTGGACAGCTTGTATCTTATATCTTCGGTTACAAAAATATTATGTCGACATCCGTGTTTTTCGTATAATTCATTAATTTAACATAATAACTTGCTGAGTAACTGTTTATACGAAAATAATATGACTTGGTTAGCAAAACGCGGCTGGTCGCTGTCTGACTGGCACACTGACTGGCTGACTGACACGTCAAACTTACTTATAATAGTTACATACAAAGTTTGCACATAGTTTATTACTGTGTATCGGTCCCGTTGCTATTATACGTAAATACGAATAATAATTATTATGGATGTATTTCTATTATGACAAGTTATTGAGTGGCGGTTACGTTTCGGTGGGCGAAAATTGTACGTTGTGGAATAATGTGAAAACACCATTAGTGTGACGCTTCATTAGCGTTATGAACTTGAAAAAAAATTGTCTAGACAGTTGTTTGAGATGACAAATTATTGAAATAAATAAAGTGCGTAATGTGTCGTACTACGTTAACAATATTCCACCGCGAAATATCTGAAATTAAAATACAAATATTATTATCGTGCAACTGAAAATTTCGTAAAAAAATCCCACATTCCAGGAGGGGAGGGTTAAAACCCCCTTGAACCTGCTTCCTCCCCTCATAGATTTTGTCGTTTACAAAGTATAATAATATATTATGGATTTACGTTAATACTCAGTGGGTGGCGTAACCAGGGGGAAGGGTGGTTGGTAGTTAATAACTAACCCCACCAAAAATTTAAGATTTTTTTACTAATTCTATCTAGTTGCATAATTTGCATTACAATTTTAGTAACTGACTATCCCGAAAAACCACTCGGAAACCCTTATCCTTCCCTCCCCTCCTATCGTGTACCTATATAAAATTAGAGTTTTCTTTCAGCCTTAACAACTTCACGCTGTCGATACCACAGTCTTGGATCACGCCTGTTTTAGTCTTTCACAGCCAAATCTCTAAAATATTTCTTTTCGAGGACATCCATCCATCTTATCACGGGTCTGTCACGAACTCTGTTCCCCCGAGATTTTCACTCTAGCGTTGATCTAACATTATAATATACTTTTTACGAGAAAAGCCAGTATCGCATTGGTATGGCCTAATCGTACTCCTTGTCCTTTTGTAATCGCTGGGAGATTGTTCTAGAAAAGTAACATAATCTCACAAGTTTCATTTCGTAGTGATTTTGATGGAAACTATAATTGTTTTCGTATATCTTGTAATTCTCATATAATCCAATCGTAAAATGTATTACATTTTAATAATATAATATAAATCACCGAAGATGATAACAGTTATCTATTTTTCGATAAAAAAAAAAGCCATACAGGGAGTACTCTATATGTTGATTCGTATTAGACATTTTTCGGAATAATGAATAAATGTGAGATTTTAGTAAACTACCATAGATTTCATTTGTTAATTCTATTGTTCAATCATTTCACTATTCTGAAACATCTAGATTTCGTAGCGCATCCGAATCGTAGTCATCTCGATATTATAAAAAACCGGTTGATTTTATTATCATCGTATTCATTTTATTCATTTTATTCTCACACATTTACACAACAACGCCTCTGATCGCCGGCGCCAAATGAACGGCACAGCCCGGTTTCGTCAAAAACACAAACATATACAACGGTCGTAAATTAGTGATTAATCGCGGCGATGAGCTATTTTATTAATATTAATTATATTATACGTTTGTGCGACTGCGGTCGTTGTTACAAAACAATCGGTAATTAATTTGTTTTTCGAGACAATGCTGCGGGCGGTGGTCGGTGGTAGGGGGTGGTGGAAAGATAAAATCACAGTGTAGTATGGCTTTCTCGTGTCACCGGAAACCACTTCCGCGCGCCGACGACCGCTTGACCGAACCGCGCGGACACTATAATAATATAATACGACCAGCCGTATTATATTATTATTTTATTTATCGACCTGCGTTTTAGGCGGTAGATTTAAATAATACGTTACACGTACCTACGTACAATACTGCTACGTATATCGTTACAGTTGAATATACGAATACTATCAAAAACAACACAATATATCAGACATATTATACCGATTGATCCTCTTTTGTCGTTGAACATTTTATTATTTCGATAAGTAACGACTCTTTTCAAAAAAAATTTTTTCCTTTTTTTTTTTTTACAATTAATGAAACAAACTGCTCTAGAAAATTGCACTGCTATTATTATTTTTGAGGGTGACCGCCTACTTTTGAGTATGAAAACCAGGAAACCTATATTTAATATTCCATAAACAGATGGTGTATATTGAATGGATATTTTTGATTTTGTTTAAATCGATCTAAGTGTTGACATTTTTGATTTCCGTTAACTCGTTGACGAGATGTTCCATTTTAAAGTTTGAATAAGGGAGAATTATAGTGGAGCGCTATCCAAATGCCGTGCCGCTACACAAATGGTTTAGTTTCACTATTCGACCTGTACCCAAAATTAAAAGTGAAATATCTCATCAACGAGTTGATGTAAATCAAAAATGACAATATTAAAATAATAAGAGTGATGAAAAAATAATAGTAATGTATAGAACATGTTTCAACATTTCAAAGCTGCTTATAACCTAAATTTTCAAAACAAAAAACCAAATTATTGAACAAATTAAATACATTTAAAATATTGAATGTTCGATAGTAAAATAATCACCCAATATATAAGTTTGATGAGGGGAAAATGTATTTTATATTTTATAGGTCAACTTAATAATACGATTTTTTCATTAATCTACTGCTTACGATACCTTTTTAATGGGAAAATCGTAATTATACAGTAACTATAATTTTAGTTTGGAAAGCCAGATAAAACTTTATGAATTGTGTTTGACGGATTTTAATTTTGAAAATTTTGAGTGTGATTATTTAAGTTCTTTACTAAAGAATACGTTTACATTATTTTTTTTTATTATTTCTAGTGTCACTATTATCAGCTAAAAGTGAACTATAATCCGTTTTCAAAATTGAAAACTGTCAAACACAATTCTTATAGTTTTTCTGACTTGTAAGTATAAACAAACTAAAATACACACCGTTACTAACCCCTTAAGAAAAGGACTGTGATGACATTTTGATTCGTAGATCATAAAGTCCCCAATAAGATCAAATTGTCTCCGGGGACACTTAAATCCATTTTTTTTAAACGGAGACATAACTATTGATCGGTGTTATCAAATAATAAAATTTTAAGAGTGGATCAAAAATTTAATTATTTGATGAAATGGATCAAAAAATCGTCAAATGGATCAAATTGTCTCTACTGGATAAATATGTTCCCGAAACGTTTCAAAATATCTCCGGTAAAATATGTTCCGTTACCGATAATAATAAATTAATAATAAATTTACTGTCTCTGCGGTCTTTCTAATAACAGGTTTCTGACAACAAAGCAAAATGATTATACGTTTAACTTATTATTCAAAATTGTAACAGTTTGGTCGAACTAATGTATAATAAATTCATTTAAAAGACCTTGATTTTTTTTTTTTTTAAATTATTGTCAAACAAATATATAATGAGTTGGAGCCATTTTTTTTTTTTTTTTCTTGAACTTTTAATGAAACTAAAATGTACTTCATTATCGTTACAGTGATATTATTTAAACGGCAATAATATTAAATTATTACTCAATATTATTCGAACAGTTGTTCCGCATTATAGGTTTTACCTTAATTTTGTTGAATTAGACATGTTTTTGAGTTTTTTCTTTTTTACAATAATTAAATAAAAATTAAATGATTAAAATATTTGAACAGTGTAAGTTTCTATAATCATATACTAGTTCGATTTTATAATAATATGTGTCTACTTGTAGGTCAACTGTAAACGCGCAGTAAAATGAAATTAAAATTAAAATTATCAATATCACCGCGCACCGAAAAACAATAAACATTTTTAATATTGCCCCATCGAGTTTGAAAAATATTTGTATACACAAACGAAACGCGACAGAAGTAATAGTTATTTATATTTCCACGTGTACGACGACGGTTCGTAGTAATAAAAACGCGGGTACAATAAAAAAAAAAAAAAAAAAAAAAAAAAAAAAACAAAAAAAAAAAAAAAAAAAAAAAAAAAAAAACAAAAAAAAAAAAAAAAAAAAAAAAAAAAAATAACGATATTGTCTGCTAATTTATTGTACAAGGTGTGCGCGCGGGATTGATAAAACGCGTGCGGCCCGCGTACGAACGTAGTTGTGTAGTACTATGTATATTTTAAATACGATTATTATTATCCCTCGACTTGTGCGTCGAAAACAAAAAACTTAGCATGTAAATTACTACGTGACCGTCTGTATACACGCTGCGTATATTATCCCGTAAGAACTCGGAACGTACATTTTTGTACGCGAAACATTGTTCCGAACATTATTTGGTTAGACCTTCTTGAATTATCATTTGCATTCGCGTATCTCCTTGAACGCGCACTGTACTTCGTTAACTTCAAACCATTTAGGCACGCGCCCGTCGTATAGTACTGCACGTTGAAATATATTCAAACCGACCGATGTTTCGCGAACATATATATATATATATACATACTTAACGTCTTGAAAATATATTGCACTGCAGCATCGCTGCGCAACACTATGGACGGTTATAGCACGGTGGGCGTAAGGGTACATGCGATGTGATGATAGCGAAATAAATTACAAATTATACCTACGCAATTAATGTAATTCGAGTACATTAGTAATAAAAATAGTTGCCTATTTCGTAAATGGGTTCCATCGGTTTTATAAATCGACGGGCCCGAACGACCGAACGGTATACGTGGTGGGTATGTGGGAAATGCGGGCGGCGAACGGGCTCGCCGTGGTCGTAGTCGATTTGTAAAATCGAAGACGACGACCGCGGCGTTTAAACCGAACCGCGCGCGGGAATAATGCGATTTATTAGTAAATACATTGTTATCGATGTGTTGTGCATTGCGAGATTAGCGTATAAAGAAATATAAAAGTCGGTACCGTTTATAAAATATTTCGTATTGGCGCGGTACTCGTATGGTAAAATAATAACAATAAAAAAAAAAAAAAAAAAAAAAAAAACCGGTGCATCAAAGTTAATTGTCAGTTTTTTTTTTTTTTTTAATTTTATTGGAAAATTGTCAAGATTTAGACAATTTGTTTAAATAAAGTACAACCGGGCGAAAAATCCGCATCTTTTAACGTGAGGTATGAACAATTAACGTAGAATAAGTAATTTTACTAACCGTAAAAGTGTTTTCTGTAAAAAAAAAATACAACTTAGTAAAATGAATGGCTTCTATATTATCACTACACTAAGAATCTGATTTTTTTTAAATAAAAAAAAAAACTGATACCCGTTAATGGATATGCTTCCGTTGTTGGTAGATAATTGGGAAGGTATAGAATACATAAAGTTATTTAATTTATATCTGTGCGTAACAATAAATTATTGCCGACGAAATACGATACCGAGCGAAGTACGATTTAAACATGTTTTGAACTGCCGTAATCAATACGTTTGTTTTGTACAATTGTTTACGAAAATTTAAACTTGAAACGCTTATAAAATAAAAACCGCTTCACTTTTTTGTTTTATGCGCGACTTATAATATAATGAACCTTGCGTTATATTTTCGAGCATTTTTACAGAACAAAAATAATTGTATCCACGTGAAACCAAATGAAAACTAAAACAACACGACAAATTTCAAATGGCTATAACAATATGTCAAACATAATATTACGTATAGAAAGTTAGTAGACAATTGTATGGTCATTCGGTGAAAATTGTGCTGGTTACGATTATATCGTAAACCGAATCGCAACATAACCGAGGCCGTTATTGCGTAAATTTTCTCGGTGTTTTTTCGATGTATTTTCACAGATATACCTACATAACTACTACCTCAACGTACCACATGGAGAACATTTTCAACCAGAGACTGCTCAATAAAATTACTGTCGAAACGAGATTTTTGACAGATAGGCTTTGTTTATAGATACGAATAAATAAAAAAAAACAAAAACCGCACACATCGTACTATATATTGAATACGCGTATGTATAATACCTATAGGTACGTTCAACTCATTTCTATTATAGATTATTTATAAAAAGTTTAAACACAAAATATCGCATCGTTTCACAAGTTTTAGATTTTTAGCTGAGCGAGGAATATTTCGGGTTTATAACGATGTTTATTTTTTTTTTGTGGTCAACTTTTCTAACAGAAATTTTTCTTCGGTTTACAATAATAGCGCTTTTCCCGAGAGAAAATCTGACCGGGGATGTACTTTAAGGAGGTCATTTTTGGACTTTCCCGTGAGTTCTCCCAATGAATGGGATAGACGTAGGGAAAACGGGAAACACTGTAGAACATTAAACAAATATCGTTGAAGAAAATATGTATTGCGCGTGTAGTTATTCTCGTCGGACAACGATGATAACAGTGCGTTTCGCGGACGGCCGACGTCGCAGGCGTCTTTTTCATTCCGTTCCGGCCGCTGTCCCGGAGTACCGCGGGCCCGTTCGGATACGGTTTGCGGGTGGAAATTCGCGAACCGGGTTTTCCATCCAACGTGGTGGCGGGGGGGGGGAGCCCCCGAATTCGAGGAACCGTACACGCGACGCCGCGTTAAAGTTTACGGCGTGCGTCGCAGGCCGGGGGGGTGGGGGGCGGCGGCAAAACCGCGAAACTTATCGTTTCGACGATTTCACCGCGCATCGTCTCCGCGGTCTTCCCGCGACTGCCCCCCCCCTACCCCGCGGAAAGAAGCGTCGAGCGGCCTCGGCGGTGCGCGGGCGCGAGTTGTCGTTTCGGATATCTCCGCGCGGTCCGGATAGCGGCGGATTGCGTACGCGCGCGGAAGTTGTTCGACGATGATAACTCACCGATACCGACGCATACCAGACGCACGGGCGCCGGCCCGCGTGTACGCGCGCGCGCACAAATAATATATCGCGGGCAGGTGTATAAATACAGTTCGCCGGCCCCTCGGCTGCACAACTCATCCGTCTACAATAATATAGAGTTCAAATAGCACCGCGGCGTTTCTCGGGAATTGTTCGCGTGTGTACCGCGGCACACTGTTACACGCCTATATAATATATCGGCTATCAGCGTACAAACGCGCACCAGAGAGTACGTTATTATTGTTATTATTATTATTGTTGTTGTTGTTGTTGTTGTTGCTGTTGTGTTACGCGCGCGCGCGCGCGTGTGTGTATTCCGCGGCGAGGCGGGGGTGGCGGCGATGGTCTGTGTATATATGTATACATATATCCTATTGGGTGGTCGGTTGTGCCGATTCTATATATATATATATATATATATATATGTGTGTGTGTATAAACCACGCGGTAAAATGGGCAGGAGAGGAAGAAGAAAAAAAAAAAGCTGCGGGCGGCCTTGGAGATAGAAAGATTTATCGCGTTTAACCACCCCTTGTATACATACATATATATATATATATATAATAGTGCGCGGTGTGTGTGTGTGTGTGTGTGTGTGTGTATATATATAGAGTAGTAGGAGTAGCTACCACTACTACCACTACATACCTACACCGTTATACTACTGTCCAACAGATATATACCACTAAATATTCATCAACTAACGTTGCTGCTAACCGCCACCTCCTATAAACTGTATACGTGTTTGCGTGTATATGTGTGTAATATATATATATATATATATATATATAGGTGTATATATAACGAGTGAGAGAACGACGGAGCGCGGCAGGAGGGGCAGAGAAAGATAGAGAGGGATAGAGAGGCTTTTGCTATACGGAGGAGCTATTATTATTATTATTATTATTGTTATTATTATAGAATCTAGTAGTGGTCTGTAGAGTGGCCGTATCCGGGGTGTACGTATTATTTTATTTATTACCGCTTGTTAAAAAAAAAAAAAAAAATAAAAAATAGAGGAAGCTCAAAGTAAATAACGGGGGTGGGAGGTAGTGGCGTCGGCGTGTGCGGGCGTCGCGGCCGCGGCGCAACACTAAATGAAAACAAATGCTCGGCCGACACGCGACGGGATAGACTACTGCAAAACTAAAAAAATCGGTATGTAGTTTGGTTGTTTTATTTTTTTTTTTTTTTTTTTTAATATTTTCGGTTTTTCGGCAATTTCCAACGGCCGCGGGCCGGTATTCGTTTATTTATGTTACGCGCACGACGGCGCGAGAATACCGACAGTATCTATTGGATGTACGGCATCTTTACAGTTTACATACGTATTATACATTTTGTCTACATTAAGATAACGACGTACATTTTGGATACGTATTTTGTTTTTTGTTTTTTTCTTTTGCGTATGTTTCGTGATTTTTGAAGTCGAACAAAAATAATGAAAAATATAATTTATTCGAGTAAATTCACCTTATGCGATTTCGTAATCCACTACCTATATGTACAGAAGTAAAGGGAAAAAAACGTCTCGTCTCTTTTCGAAAACGTCGATTGTGTCTTGCAACAGTTGCACCTATGTATTATGTAGTGGTGAAAATCAATGTGTCTGTTTAATATCTATGTTGTACCTATCCTATAGACAGCATTGTGTTTTGTCAAGTGGGTGATAAAAAAAAAAAATAAACCAAAGAAAAAGTCTCCACCATGTGTCCAAGTATCTTCTATATCAATGTAATAGAAATTAGAAAAAGAAAATGTCGAGTTCCGTAATATTTTAATAACAGACCACCATAGACATAATATATAACTATCATTGTATCCACAATATAATAAATAATGTAACACATAATCAAATTTGCTTTTCTTTGGATAAATTAGTTCATTGGTGGAATTTTAATGTATCGATGACACGATAAAACCGTAAACAAATCGACATATATTATTGAAGGAAAATAACACGACTGAATACTACCGCTATTATGGTGATAACGTAGTTTATAATGATACTAATGTATTTTTGTACTTTTTCAAATCGTGAAAACTATTGGTACATATAAATTATTATTTGCTTGACCACGGCCCATGGGAAGGGGCTGAGCTCTTTCACTGAAAATACCGCACAATCTATACAGTTTAAACCCTATGTACGAGTATATATATATTTCTTTCAAGTACCTTTCCCGTCCGCAGTATTATACGACAATAGGAACCTGTATAGGATGTCACACCGAGTTTTTATGTTAATAAAAATAATTAATTTTTTTTTTTTTTTTAATCTGTTTTTGTGTAAGGGGAACACATCTGTAGAGAAAAATAGAATGTTTATTTTCGTTCCTTAGTCGGTAGAAAAAATTACTTTTTATTTGTTAATTTTTTTAAAGTTTTCAAAATGATTACTTTGTAACAGATATAATTCTAAAAAGACGTCCTAGGATTATGAGGATGGGTGCAGCCACTGTTTTAGGTAATTTAATGTATACCTGTAAGCAACGATAAGCCACTGTTTACGAAAAAACGTTTCTGAACGGAGTTCAGTTGATAGTGATGCTTTGTCAACAATGTAATGTATTATATATACATGGCATATTATAGTAAAATAATTAAATAGACTTTATATATTTTCTTTAATAATAGTTGTTTAATGTTGTACCGATTTTCCTACGTATTTTCCGGTTTCCCGTGTTCTTTCACAATGTTTCACATTTGTTGAGAAAACTCCGGGAAAAATCGAAAATTAACTTC